CACTGCCTTGAGGAATGAAACGAGAAACTGCTTTGCCAGACTTCTAGTACGGGCTGTTGTGCTGGAGAGACCAAGAAATGGTCTTTTAAATCTTTCAAAAAAGACCATTTCCGTGAAGCGACTAGGATGTTTATGATTTTTTTCCCTGCGGGCCAGCTTGACAGTGAACTTCGCTTTACCGCAATTGGTATTCATTTGTAGTTTAGATGGAATATATAGTGTATTTACTAGTGCCAGACCCTCGGCTAGGCATTCTGCTACATACTATCATTAATTTTTACAGTGATCCTCTGTGGTAGGTGGTGTTATTTTTCTCTCTCTTTTCTTAACAGACGAATTTACTTAGGCCCAGGGAGATGAAGTGATTAACGCAAGGTCACACAGTGTCAAGGATGGAACCCAGACCTTCTTATTTCCTTATTGGTGAGCGCACTTAAAAATGTTTCTGTAAGTCAGGGTTTTAAATTTAAAATACTATTTGAGTAGTTGAGCTTGTCATTTCAAGGAATCCCTCAGGTAACCTTTGGTGGCTATTTATCTCCTATTTGTATCTGTTTGGGGATTCCTAGTTTTTCCTAGTGTGAGCTATACCTGTAATGGGCTCAAATGCTGGTTTTTTAATAAGGTGTCTGGGGTGAGATATGGAGAGGAAGTGATTCAGTCCTGCCTAAAGGATCAAGTATCTGTCAGTCTGGCCCTGTCTGTGGCACATTTGAGTCTACCTGGCTCTGTGGAGCAAGCAGTTTCTCTGTATGACTCACTTGCTTCCTTCAGCTACCCATGAGCATGACTTCTGCCTTTCCCACCTCAGCGCCCCAACCAGGTATAAATAAATAATTTTACACTGGCACCAAGCGGTCATTTCTCTGCAAATATTGACAGCATGATTGAGTGTTAGATAAATCATAGTCTGTGGACTCTTCAGTTCACTGTAACAAAAAAACTGTGGGCCAAACAACAAATATGTTCCTATACAGGGTTCTACTTGTGTGGGTGTTAGAGATGGAGAGATGGGCTTTTTGCTTACTTTATCTTACATTAATACTACATTTCTATCTGACTTAACATAGGACTTTCACATTACTTTATATAATTCTACAAGAAACTTTAATAGGTAAGTACATAACAGAAACAATAATAATAATAGTATTAAGCACTTACTATGTGCCAGGCACTGTTCAAAGCTTTATTCTCTTTTCTCGATTCAGTGGCTCTCACATTTTTAGAAGCAAACCTCTGTAAGAAATAAATTTTATGTAATATACATGCACCACATATATAACAAAATTTTTGCAAAATTATGCCTATCCTTATTATATGCAATGTATTGTAATTTTTATTCTCTTTATATTAAGAAAGGGGCATAACAAAACTAGAGTGATGAAAAACCCATTATTAGGTTGTGACCAATAGGATTAACGTACACATTTAATTTTCACAAAACCTCCTGAGATGGGGATGATATTTCCATTTCAGAGAGGTGCAGAAAGGTGAAGAATTTTGTCCAAGGTCACATGATAAGTGGTAAAGCAAGGATTTGAATCTAATCTGAGTCCAGAGCCTATATACTTAACTGCTAAAGTAGATGTGGTCTCTGCAGAGGGCCTAATCTTGTAGGGAGACAGTCGATTAGGGTATTAAAAATCTTAGTGTTGAAAACTCATTGTTTTGCTAATCCTTTAGCAAAAGAATTAAATTATATGTAATCAGTAATTACATTGATTTAAAGCATTTTGGTCTTTTAAATCTGTCACCTGTTTATTCTCATTAAAAAGAAATTTGTTCATTGGGTCTTTCTTCACAAGACTGCCTATTTTAAGCCTTTTCTGCCTGAAATATTCCTTTAATTTCTTATCTGAGTACCTCCAGAGCTCTACTTACCTCCTTAATGTAGCCTTTCCTTTCCCAGCTTTCACATCCCTCCCACTACCCACCCAGTTCTACAACACCTTCCTAGAGTAGCCCACATTTGTCTGTTGATAAATTATGTGTCTTGATGTTGATAATGTGTTGTACAGGCCACAGGTGCCTTGGGTGACCCTGAGATCTGGAAAAAAGGGTGCTTGGACTTGGGAATCCGTGGCTCTGGCCCCTAGCTCCAGCTCTGTCACTTATTAACTTTGAGATTTCTATAACCCAATTCATTTATCTGGGCCTCATCTTTAAAAAAAGAGATTAAGTGGTCTCTAAGCCCCCTTCTACTTCTGTATATGTATTTTACTCACTTATGGTAAAATTTCCACACCCTTCCTTAGACCTGCACTATCTTGTGGATACGTGAGTGAATTCCACACCACCCATTTTACAGATGAAGCCACTGAGATATGGAGCAACTGACTAAATAGCCACCGCCCCACCCCTGGAGCCTTACACATGACTGTTCTCCTGCTGCCCGAGTGACTACAGGTTGGTTAAGAGGTTTAACAAGGTTGGGAAGGTGAGTCAGGCTTAGACTTTCGAAATTGAACCACAGGATTTATACTCCATTCAGAGGAAGGGTTTTTTTGCTTCCTCTTACCTTACATTGGCTTGTTATAGAAAAGCTTTCAAAATGATTTCACATTATTTAATTGTCATGGACAGTGTTGTCATTCTGTCCATTTTATGGAAGAGTCATCTTTGGATCAGGGTAGAGAAGTGACTTGCTCAAGTTTACACAGCGTATTAGGGGTCTCTTATGAGCTGGGTCTCTTGACTCCTTGTGCATCGTTCTTTTCTTTGGCTTCTCATACTTGTTGCACTGACTTTGACATATGGAATATCTTTTGCTCTTGGTTGCCTCACTCTAAACAGTGACTAGAGTAATCCCGTTACATGTGTATAAAATCATGCCACTCCCCTGCTGAAAACTATCTACTAGGTCCCACCCAGGTTAAAAACCAGTCTTTATAGTGGTCTACAAGGGCACATAGAATCTTTAGCACTACCCTCTCCCAGCTGCTCTGACCTCATCGTCTACCACTTTCCCCTTGTGCTCTAGCCACATTGGTCTCCTTGTGGTTGCTCCAATATGCCAAGCAACTTTGGGTCCTTTGTAGTTGTTTTTCCTGCCTGGAACACTTCTTCCAGATATCAGGATGGCCTCCTCCCTTACCTTCTTTAGGTTTTTCTCAACCTAATCCGTGAAATATTCTTTGACCATCCTATTTAAAATAAAGCCCATCTTCTGCCCTTTGCTTTCCTTGTTCTCTTCTGCTTTATTTTCCTTATTGCTCTTTGATATAATATTCATCCATCCATCCATCCATTATTCAGATGTTTATAGAGTGCTGCCTACTATATGCCAGGTACTGTTCTAGAGACTCTATTATAATTTGTTCATTGTTTGTCACCCACCACTAGCATGTAAATTATAATGGCTAGGACTTTGTTTTGCCCAATGCTGTGTCCCTTCTGTAACAATGCTTAGCACATAGGAGTTGGATGAATAAATATATTCAAATGTTAAACAAAAACTATCGAATATATAGAAGGTTTATATACTAGATAATGAGGAAAAGATCTGTATGAATAAGACATTGTTCTTGCTTTCTAGTTGCGTAGTCTAAAAAATGCTTACTTTGACCTGAACAGTTCTGTGTGATCTCTGGCAGGGTAAACTGATACATCATTTTGGAATTGGGGAGGTAAAGACTGGTGTGCAAGGGTATAGATGTCTTCACAAAGTCCCACTTTGTCACACTTATCAATAATTTGCACTGTCTCTGGAAGGGCAAGATTGATGATAGCTCACTGTGTTATTGGCTTTTGGATTATGGTTCCTGTTTGGTCTTGCCTTGTTAACAGCAAGAGTTTCTTAAAAATCTCATTAGTCTTAAGTTATATTTAGATACCTCCTAGGAATGTTCTATCATAGCCACCTCCTCAGGATAAGTGAAAGAGTTTACTGTCTTTACCTCCTGCCTATCTGAAAATTTGTTTCCAGAATCCCTGGCCATCCACTTGCTAGCTGTTTGATCTTGAACCTCAGTTTCTGCATCTGTCAAATGGTGATAATGATAAATGACACCACTCTTCTTGTGAGGATTAAATGACTAAATAGTATAATGGTTTTGAGAATTGGAGAATGGAAAGGGGAAGAGGTAGAGGACAGAATTTCTTTTTTTCTTCTTTTTGTTTTAGTAAATATGGTATATCTCAGGTTTATTTTGAAAAAATAATTTTAGTAAGTATATTTTTTTCTAATGAGAGCAATGAAGATTTTATTTTTTAAAACAAAGACTTTAATATTTTTTTTTTATAGAGTAGCAGGTTTATAGAAAATATTTCCCCGTCTCTCCACCCACATTTACCACTATATTGCAAGAGGGAAATGAAATGCTGGAACCCCACCCCAGGCCTGCCCAGTGAACTGGTATTTGCGTAGGAAAACAACCATTTCCCTTAGGTGAAATTGGAACTCAGGAGGTAGTACTATTTGAGATGTTCAAAGGGGATCGTGACGATGATAGCAACAGCAGTAATAGTAATGGCTAAACTTTACGAACTAGTCAATGTGCTAAGCACCTTTTGTGGAGTGTCTTATTTTAACATCATAACAAACGTATGTGGCTGGTGCTATGAGTAGAGCAGTGTCAGGAGTAAGGAACAGAGACTGAGGTCAGACCTCCTGTACTGACATCTCAATTTTGTCAGTAACCAGTCATGTAGCCTCGAATAAGAAAACTGCTTCATTTTTCTCATCTGTATCTGTAAAAAGAAGGTGATAATAGTACCCGCCTCATAAAGTTATTGTAATGATTAAATGATGTAAGCCGTGTAAAGTGCTTAGCATAGTACTTGGCACATAGAAAATACTCACCAACTGTTGGCTGTTATCATAATTAAAATAGTTGTTATCTTCATTTAGCTGATGGAGAAACAAAAGCTTGAGAGGTAAGGTTATTTGCCTAAGTGACACAACAAATAAATAATGAAACAGAAGTTTGTTCCCAGGTGTCAAACTCCAAAGCTCTTATTCCTTACCATTACATTTGACCACCTTCTTGGGTTGAGGGGAAGGGACTGTATAAAAACTGCACTTTGTCCAATTTGAGATGAACATAGATGTATATAGGTTGGGTGTACGTTTGTACCTATCTAACCTTTATTTGTGGTATTAAGTATCTCATCACCAAGCACATGCTTGATTATTCTCTGATTTGATTTTTCCCTAGATTCAAAGAAATGAATGTTGGGTCAGTTATGGTCTTTTCCTCCTGAGGGTGTTCTCTGGTTGGGGCCAGGAAATGGATCTAAACACCTGTGTTCTTCCTAGGGTTCTTTGGACCAGAAGCAGAAGCTTGTTTGGTTTCTCTTGTTATTATGATTGTGTCTTTTCTTAATACAACTGGTAATGATGAGAAGTATATACAACATATACATTGAGCACTTTCTTTGTGCCATGCATTTTACGTGGATTATCTCATATAATCTTTAAAATAATGCTGTTAAAGTAGTTGCTCTTATCTCTGCTTTATAGAAGCAAAGAGAGGTTAGGAAGCTTGCTTGAATTTACAGTTAGTAGGTGGTACAGCTGGGGTTTGAATAAGCAGTCTGGCTTCAGAGTTCAAGCTCTTAACCTCTACTGCTTCTGTTCCTTTCTGACCTGTGTAAAGTACAGAGTATAGGCCAGGTGACTTAGTTGGGCCAGTCTTATTTTTCCCATCTGAAAAATGGGAAGATTTTGACTACAGGGCTAGGAAACCAGTTTACCACCTCCAGGACATGGCTTTTCTCAGCCTATTGTCCTCGTTCATTGAACAAACGAGTTGTTCTAGATGTTCCTTTTTTTTTTGGTGCAAAAACCCAAGAATGATCTAGATGCTTTCTGAGGTGACTTCTAACTCTGATTTTCTGTGATTGAGCATATGAAGTGAGGAGAGTAACACCAGCTTAGCTCCTTGATTTTGAAGCAGTGGTATTTGCGAGGTTTTAGCTTTGTTCAGGGAAGATGCCAGATTTCAGGGCAGAGAGTGAGATTTCCTGAAGAAGGTAGGTCTGGGCTCCTTTTTGAAGTTGGTTGCTAAGGGAACCTAGCCTCTGGCCAGCAACAGTCAGGAATGCTTTGGTTGAGGGTTGGGTTCAGATAACTAAAACAAGTAGCACATTTAGGTTTCACTTTCCAAAGTGTTCCCCGTCCCTACCCTCCCCCCACCCCCAGCTATCTTTCCTTTTCAAGCTGCTAATTTTGTACTTTTTTATATGTTAGGTACTGTTTTAAGTATTTTACAAAGTATTATATTATTTGATCTTCATAGTAATCTTATGAGATAGGTACTTATTCTATATTTATGAATAATGAAAGTGAGGCAAATAGATTTTAATACTTTGCCCGCATTTACTCAAGTGAAAAGTGATATCAAACCCACTAAATTATAATGTTATAATGCCTGGTTGAAGCTTAAAAAAAAAAACAGAGGGAGCACTCAATATCTTGGTGGTTTTTGTATTTTTTGTTTTTGTTTTATTTAGAATGACAGACCCTCAGAGTTGGAAAGAACCTTTGAGGTATTACAATCAATCCCTTTGTGTCTAGTCAACCATCCAGTTAGTTACAAGAATGCTTTCTATCATTCCCCTGACAGATGATCATCCAGGTTCTTTTCGAATACTTCCATTGCTGGGGAGCTCATCATTTCTTGAGGAATCCCATTATATTGTTGAATAGCTTTCATTGGTAGAAAATATTTCTTGTTTTGAATTGTAATTTAATGAGGTGACTTATCAGTTTTAGGCCTATTCCCTGGAACTACACAGGAGAAATATAATCCATCTTCCACATTCTTGTGAATGTTTGAAGGTAGTCTTCCTATTTATAAGGCATATTTGTAGTTTTCTCATAGTATCTAAATTTGTATTCAATTCATATTGGTCTGCACAAAAGCAATCTTACTACTTTGAAAGTACAGCCTTGCAACAAATCTGTTTTACTTTTTGTAATTAGTTAGCACATAGTGTGGGCCCTTCCTGTGTTTTAGGAGAACACATGGATAGTGAGCAGAATTTATACAGTTGTACATGAGTCTGGAGGTCCTGCATATATAAGACTGCTGCCCTGTGCACAGTCAGAGCTCACAAAATGGCTGGAAGTTTATCCGGGCACTTGACAAAACTGCATTTACTTCATCAGACCACTAGGTGATGAACGACTCCCAAACCCAAACTGCCAGCACCGGTTGTGTACTGTTTGTACCCGGAAAGGCCATCAGAAGTCATCTGGTACAACCTCATTAAAAGTGTTTTTTTGTGGGGAAGGGAAACACATCTGTATATACTTTGTCTTTCCTTGCTTTGTTCCAACTAGGACACATCTTTGAGTGATTTTCTTAGAAAAGGGTCATGGATGATATTTTCAAGGGCTTTATATATCCAATTTTTTTCTTTAATTTTCATTTATAAATGATATCTTGTCTGGATTTAGGATTCTTGAATAGTAGTCCTAGTCTCTACAAAGTCAATATGCAGCTTTCTACTTTCTTCACTTTCTGGTGATACAGATGAAAAGTCCAATGCCATAGGATTCTTTGTTCTTTGTAAGTAATATCCTATTCTCTTTTTGGAAGTTTGTAAATTTTTTTTTTCCTGGTTAGTGTTTCATCATGATGTGCTTAGGTGTGTCTTTAAAATAACTCTGCTTGTCACTTGGTGAATCTTTTATACTTAAAAACTTAAGTCTTTTCTTTTTTTCTTCTTTCTTTCTTTTTTTTTTTTTTTTTCACCTACAGTACCTGGTCTTCGTAGGTGGTCTCCCATCCAAGTACTAACCAGGCCCGACCCTCCTTAGCTTCCAAGATCAGATGGGAGTGGGTGTGTTCTGGGTGGCATGGCCATAGACAAAACTTAAGTCTTTTCTTAATTCAAGGAAGTTTTATTATTTTCCTTCGTTTCCAACCTCTTTACTTTACAGATAAGGAAACGGAGCCCAGAAAGGTTAAGTGACCTGCCCACCGTGTCTCAGCTAGTTATAAATGAACCTCAAGTAAATAACCTCACTCTTTTGATGAGCTAGAGTTTCATTGTATTGAATATTGCTCTGATGAGAGGGCCATCATGAACAACATGGAAGTGTTTTAGTTAGACAGGAATTTTGCCAAGGGTTTGTGGGGAGATGAAGAAGGAAAAAGAGGTGATTAAATTCATTATGATTAATATGTGGCCCATTTGAAAGACTGCAAAATTCACCAGACCCCTGATATTCCAGTTAACTGGATCTACCCCAAAGCTCTAAAACTTAGTAAAGCCAGGAAGTTGATTGAACATTTGGAGAATTAGATATTTAGTTGTCAGCAGTTGGATAAGCATGGTCATGTCCTATTGTATATATTGGAAAACACATAAATGGCGTCTGAAGACTTGGAGACAGACATCATAAACTGTGTCTTATCAGTGGTTTGGTTTCTGTTTTGAGTTCCAGCCTGGGACCATGTTCTGCTGGGAATCACCCTTTCCTGGTTCTATTGATCTTTGGATTTCCCCAGCTCTTCAGTTCCTTTCAGTTTTGAAATGAAACCTGCCCCAGAGGGCGAGGTCAGGTACTCGAGAGGACTTTGACAGCTTACTCAAGGTTGTTTTCTTTGTAGAGCCGTCTGGTATGTGACTGCATGAGATATAAGGCTCAGCAGGCTGTGATATAGACTAATTGATGGTGAATCAGCTGTTGGGTAAGGCCTAGGCAGTATCATTTCTTTGGGTAACAGGAAAACATGTAGACCAAATATGTTGTCTTTCATCCTCAGAAAGTTGAAAGTTAAGAGCACAGTTTAGACTAGAGACTGGCCATGATCTCTCCACTTTTGCTTTACTGAAGATGGAAAGGCTTTATTTCTTTCAGTGTCTTCTCTTCATTTATATAACCCTTTTTTTCCTTTCAGGGAGAAGCCAAGTCCCTGGCTGCTTTCTGCTGCTCCAGCTTCTAAACTTTTATACTGTACCTCCCAGGATTGCTGCTTTGATATCAGGTGACCCCTCTAGATACCCTTAGACACATACTCCCATGTACCCAGCCCCCGACTCCTTCACAGAATGCAGTTCCCCTCTTTCCTTTGCTGTTTTCCACGATATTACAGCGCTTCACATGGAATTTTTATAAGTGGAATTGGCTCTTTCTTCAGCTCATCTCATACCACTTCCCCCTGATTTTACCCGAGTGTCTCATAGCCTCAACCCCCAGCACTGCAGAGCTGCTTCCAGACCTTCAAATACCTTTTCTCCTTTGAGACTTATACTGGCCAGCAAGGCCACTTGATCCCTGTCCTTGAAGCTGGTATCTATACTCATTCTCCCATGTTTGCTGTCTGACCTCTCTTCCTGGGGCTCTGGCCAGGCTAGGGGATTGGTGGCCAGGCTTGGCCTGGAGCCAAGGATTCAGGATAGAGCATGGAATTAGGGGGCTTGATGTTAGCATTACAGACGTGGGCAATTGGAAAGCCGAAAGATCTGAGTATCAAGGCCAGTGGAGGGTGGTAGAAACAGAGAAAATTTAGTATCTGAAGCAAAAGAGTATCCTTTGTAGACTTCCTCTTCTGCCCATTTTTTACAAAAACTTAATGTTTTAAGAACCGTTTGGTTCACAGCAAAATTGAGAAGGTGTAGAGATTCCCATTAATTTTTGAAAAATGGGTCTTTAATTTTACAGAGAAGATAGTAATCTAAAAAAATGAAAACATTATAGATATTTTGAATACTCCTGTTTCCCTCTCCCCCATTTTAATTATGTCTGTATTCCTTAGAGGTAACCTGAGAGTGGTTTGGAATATACCTTCCAGACTTTTTCTGTATTTTCGCATACATATATATGAGTCCAGAAAAAATTTAAAGTGTTATTTTTGTGTTTTTTTTATTTATTTACACAAATGGGGTCACATTTTATGTATTCTGGTATTTCTTTCTTGATTCAGTAATGTGCCTTGACAATATTCCATGTTATTACATGAAGATATTCTCATTCCTTCTAGCTGCTGTGTAATATTTCATAGAATAGATATACTGTATTTTATTTAGCTATTTTTCTATGAAGAGACATTAAAGTATTCCAGTTTTTTCTTGTTATGAATGATGCTTATTGTGTTTTAAATGTCAGCATTCTGTTCCTAGGCCTTGTTTTTCTTTTCCTCATACTCTTCGTAGGTGATTTCAACTTCTCTAATGGCTTCAATTACCATCTACACATGGATGATGCCCAAATTTCTCTCCAGACCAGAATATTCTACTGCTTATATGGACAACTCCACTGAGATGTTTTGTAGACTCAGGAAAATGCAGCCTCTTGCTCTTCCCTACTTGCTCCTCATCTGGTGTCCTGTCACATGATAAATAGCACCACCGACCCACATAGTTGCTAGGCCCCAAGTCTAATAGTCATTGTACGTCCTTTCTTCCTTTCCTAGGACTTGTCTTCCCAAGTATTTCTTTGATCCAATCGCTTTCTTTCTTCCTTCATTGCTACTACCCTATACCTAAGTTTCTCAGTTTATAAAATAGAATATTTGTGAGGCTTAATGAATTAATAATATGTATAAAATGCTAAGAACGATAGATTGGCATCTAGTAAGGGCTATGTGGATGTTAGCGGTTATCATTGTTATTGTCTTCTCCTTCTCTTCCTCCTCGCCCCAATCTCTGCCTCCAGTGTTGATTTTATCTCCCCCCACTTCCATTCCATTCTCCATACTGCAGCCTGAGTGATCTTTATAAAATGTAAGAATGCTCATGATCTAACTCCCCTGCTTAAAAAACTTCAGTGATCTTTCTGTACTATTACCCCCACCTGGAATGCTTTTTCCCTTGATCTTTGAATGGCTGGTTCCTTTTTATTGCGATACCTGCTTTTAAATGCCATCTCCTCAGAGAGGCCTTCCCCGGACCGCATAATGATTCTAAAGTAGTTACACATGTACTTTCTATCACATCACCTATTTTAATTCTTTGCATAGCTTTTACCAATATGTGATCTATTTTGGTTTAATCACATACTTGTTTATAGTCTCCTCCAGTTAGAATGTAAATTCTCTGAAAGTAGAGATATGTCTGTTTTATTCACTGTTGTATTTCTAGCACCTAGGACAGTGCCTGGCATGTCGTAGGCACTCAGTGAATACTTGTTAAGTGAATGATAAAACAGCTTTATATGTCTTATGAGACCCTACTTGGTCTCTTCAGCATCATCTGCTTCTTAGTACACTTTCTACCTTGGCCTCCCAGCTCATCCCATCTTTCAGATGTGTTTTCTTGCTGCAGGACCTTTGCATATGCTGTTCCCTATCCCTAGAACACTCTTCTTCAAATACCCTGCCACTGCCTGGGTGTCTTCTATTCATTCTTCAAGTTTCAGCTTAGGTGTAGCTTCACCTTACTAGTCTTTTTTTTTTTTCCCCCGTCTTTATTGAAATATAATAGACAATTAGTTGCTTATATTTACACTGTACAATTCAACGAGTTTTTTTTTCACTTATAGTTGGCATACAAGAATATACTAGTATCAGTTGTATAGATTACTAGCCTTTTTAATCTTGTAGTTTTAGAAGTGTTGCCTTTAATTCTACATATTGTAATTATTTAATTGTCTGTCTCCTTCACTAGACTGTGAGTTTTGTCAGACAAAGGCTTATGTTTTGCCCACTATGTATTCTTAGTCCTAGCTGCTGTGGGCTGAAAGGATTCCTTAAGATGGGGGTTGGTGGGTAGAATGGATAGCGTATCAGGGATATCACTTGAGAGCTAACAAAGTGTGTCTTACAATGTCAGGGTGGGATATAGACATTTGGCCCTGGTTTATTGTCATTCTCCTTATTCTATTAACTTTGGTGATGCCAGTGTTTGGCTGAACCATCTAAGTACTTGAGAGGAACCATCCAATATACTTATCTCTCTCTGAGATGTATTCATAAAATCAGGGTAAGCCTGGCAAAGGACTTGTCCATAAAAGGGACGTGAGTGCTGAGGATAATGGATTAGGATCCTAGTGGGCTAATTATTTACTCCAAGTGGCTGATGGCAGGATAACTGAGAATAGAGTGGAATCCTAAGCAAGGAAGGAAGCAAAAAGGCCTTAGGCATAAGGTGAGACAAAGATGAAACAGGAAGCTGAATCATAAGGTCAGAATACGCAGAGAATCAGGGTAAGTAGGTGGCATATAAAAAGGAACAGAGCAAGCATTTCAGGATTAGGGGCATAATCTTAAGTATTATTTAATCTTTTAACATTCTTCTTTAGTGTGGAACCAGCTTTTGGATTATAGGAGCATCAGGTAGTTGACATACAAGGGTTTGAGCTAGATTGTATATTACTTTGTGTTTTATGTGCTATTTAGAGTCAAATCCCCAGAAATCTTATGTTAGCTTTTCCCCTTCCCCTTCTATTTCAACTCCCACGAGCCTTCCTTCACTCCTTTTAAATATACTAGGTTCAACTAGCTCATCTTTGAAAAAACTTTCCTGTTCAGAAGTCTGAAGCAATCCTGGTTTCTCTTTAGGTAGGGTGAGCAACTCCTTCAGACTACCTCCTCTCACCAAACCAGGCATAGAAGATGGCCTCAGCAGCCTCAGGGATTCAGGACTCTCTGCTCAGCCTGAACTGATGGAATTTCTTTCTGAATTTTGGAGAGGGACATGGGAATGTAGAGTATAGGGTGAGACTCTTATTGGTGAGGCATAATAAAGAGTAGTGGAAGACTGGCTGGATGTACATAGATGGTAGGATCTGAAAGTGTGTAGACAGTGGACTTGAAAGTTTCTGACTTGGAATGGTGTATGAGTTTATGGCAGTGTCAGGGGGTTCTGATGTGCTAAGTAGAGAATCTTGGTGAGTAGTGCTGGTCATTAGTTCTTAGAGGTGGTTTGTATGTATTCCATGTAGCCTGGTTGACTAGTAGCTGGTCTAATGGCGGGTACAGAGTGGGAATCATGGGGATAGAAACAGTACTTTGAAGAGGAGGGATGTGTTCTCTTTTGAAGATTGGGTGGAGTGATCGTGTGTACATACTGGGCAGTCTAAGGCCTTGTCACCTGGTCTGTGTGAGGCGAGGCATCTGCACTCCTTTCCTAGAGCTCCACTGGGAAAATTGACCTAAGAGAGCTGCAGATTGTGGCCATTGTTAGTGATTTGTCAAGTATAAGTGCGCCGTGACTTTGACTAAGCCCCTTGCTCTGATGTCTTCCCTTCTATTGTCTGCTTTGTTGCCTTCAAATTTTATAATCCATTCTGACTCCTCTTTCTAGATTACTTCATGCTCAGCTTTACTCTTGGCTGTACATAGTCCCCTAATTTTGACATTGCCAGCCAGTGTCAAGTGATGGCCTTTCTCTGTTAGTCCTCTTCCGAGAGCTATGATTTTGAAACTTTGATGCATAAGAATTACCCAGGGGGGGGGGGCAAGGACAGAGGGGCTGGATGTTTATTTAAAATGCAGATTTCTGGTCTCTACTCCTATCCATATTCTGATTCAGTAGGTATGGGGTATTAACCAGGAGTCTGGACTTTTATTGGCCTTCCTGGTGACTCTCACACCGGTCATCATCCTCAGTTCATTTTTGGAGAAACTGACTTAGGGGACTCTGCTGACCCCTGATCTCTAAAGGGGAGGGAAGGGGATCTGAACCTTCACTTGGATCCTAAGGTCCTAGGAATTTTAGTTTGTCACCTGTCATCCAGTGGAGACAATGGATAACTGTCTCTGTGTACTGGCACCTCATCTTTTCATTGCCATAATAGGTGCAGAGTTCAGATGAAGTAGAGGGCCTTAATGATTCTCTCATGGCAGGTCAGTATCTCTGGGATTTATAGGGAGCTTTGACTTTGAACTTAGAAGGCAGGCTAGAATATAGACCTTGAAGGCTGCCAGTTGCACTTCAGATTTGTCTCTGGGGTGCCTCTCTTTCCTGTGCACATAGACCCTGCTGTAGTGTAGGTGGTCTTCATTTGGTCTTCAAACTGTCCTTACTCCCCACTGCAGCCATCCTCTGTACAACTTCCACTGTCCTGTAAAACAACCCAACTTTGTCTCTCTTCTTTTCAAATCCTCTGTTGCATTCCTATTACCTATATGATCAAGTCCAAATGTATCAGGTTGGATTAACAGTCTTGCATAATTTGGCCTAAATTGTGGCCTACAAGGCCCAGCAAAAACTAGTCCCTTCCTTTTTCTCAGGTCTTGTCCCTAGCCCCTATCATTCTTTTCTCCTGCAGACACCCTCCTCTGCTTGCAGTTCCTTGACCTCTTATTCAGTTCTCTGGCTTCAGGGCCTTTGTAGTGCTATAGCCTCTGCCTAGGACACCCTTTACCCTGCTCTTCACCTCATTGGCTATCCCTTGCCTTTAAGTTTCAGATAAACATTATTTCTTCTTAGAGGTCTTTTCTGGCCACTCTATACAAAGCAACTCCGTGTTACACATTACTTAGCACCATGTTTGCTTCCATTAGGTCACTATTGCTTTTTACTAATTTGTCTTTCCCGCCTACTAGATTAAAAGCTCCATGAAGGCAGGGATCTTCTGCTCATGGTTATATCTTCAGTGCTAGTGCATAGAGGCATTCAAGTACTTGTTGGCTGAATTGTCTTTCATCTTCATGTTGGGATTTGGGGCTCTGCACAACAATTACCCTTTGCATGTGTTATTGCCTCTGCCAGAAGCCTCCTTTCGCTTATGATCTGGTCATATTCCTTCTTGTCCTTTACCACTTCTCTCAGCAGTTCCTTGACGTCCCCAGGCAGTGCTAGTTCAACAGAGACAACACTTTGGTCCTCTCAAATGGACTTTTCACCCTGCATGGTGATTTCACCTATGTAAGAGATAGATAGTATTGCTTTCGGTTTACAAGATGACAAGCCAGAGGCTCTGAGAGAAGGATTAACTTGGAAATGGCAGAACTGAGATTTGAACCCTGATATGTCTGTAGAGTCCTCACTCATTCTTTCTCACTGTGCACTCTCTAAAGAAACCAAATAGACTCAGAGATACTGAAGTGAAAGAGGTGCTTTTTAAAAAATTACTTAGGTAATAAAAGTATATATATATATACACTTTTCAAATTTCTTCAGTTAAATACAGTAAAAGTTATACTACTGACAAGTCGTTTATAAAGATGATGGAGTACAGTTACTATTATATTCAGAGGATGATGTGTATTTCATGTTTCTTTGATCATATCTTTGTGGAATCCTTGTGATAATGACAGAGTCAACGTACAACCTAGTAGAAATGAGCCGAGCTGAAATACTACACTGTTAAATTCAAACCAAAACAGTTATTAGTCATTTATTGTATCTTGGAGGATAAAGAGTGAAATCTGAAAAATTTTGTTGAGTAGAAAAATATGCAAAATTGGGGCACAAAGCCTATAACACATTTTGCATAAAAATACATCTTACTATATATATATGACACTAATTTAGTAAATTATGTTACATACTACCATATTATGCAGTTTTAGTATTTAGTTTTAGTATTTGTATGAAAAAGGGGAAGACTTGATATACTTGTTATACTCAGACTACCTCTGGAAGTTTGTTTTATTTTTTTAAATATCTTTTTGTGTTTCTGAAGCTCCTTTTTTCTTTTTGCCCATGTGTACATCGCCTTTTTTTTAAATCTTAGTAAAAAATGCATAACGAAATTTACCATCTTAATCAGTTTTAAGTGTACAGCTCAGTATTATTTAGTATATTCACATTGTTGTAGAACACATCGCCAGAACTTTTTCATCTTGCAAAACTGAAACTCTTATACTTGTTAAACAATTTTCCATTTTCCCCTCCCTCTAGCCCCTGGTAACTATTCTACTTTCTCTTTTTATGAACTTGACTACTTTAGATACTTCATAAAAGTGAAATATAGTATTTGTCTTCTTGTGACTAGCTTATTTTACTTGTCAGAAAGTCCTTGAGGTTCATCTCTGTTGTACCATGTGACAGGATTTCTTTCCTTTTTAAGGCCTAATAATATTCCATTTTAGGTATATACCACATTTTATTTATTTATCTGTCAATATATTGCATTTTATAAGCTTTTAAAAAATAGTTTGCTTCACCCTATAAATGTGATCATAAAAATTTGAATGTAAACATTGTATGTGTGGCAATAGGGGCAGAGGTTGGGAGTTATTAAATTATATCTCTCTAAACTTTACAGCAGAAAGAAAGATCCTTTGTCTAGTAAATGATCCAACTTTATGTCTTAGATTTTTGTATTTGAGATTTTTTTCCGAAGTGAAACATATCTCTTACTAAGAATGGAACAAGAAAAGGGGAGATTATGTTTGAAATTGAAGATGTCTGTGTATGTCAAGATACCCTACCATTTGTCTTACTTCACCTACTCCTAGCATCTATGTTCTTCCTATTTCATGCACTAGAAATCTTGAGACCCCCTTTTTTATAACATGTTTCCTGTGTGTTGATTTTGTTTTCCCAAATGGAGTAAATTCTCAAAGGCAAGAGACATGTCATGATTATATCCTGTAGTGATGAGCATGATAGAAGTTGCTTAAAAACTACATATTCAAGGAAGACAAGAGAGGTGGAGAGAAAGAAGTTCCTGTGCTGAAGAGATGTTTGCTTTTGGTTTTTCTGTGACTCATCTTGGACTCTTTACTAGTGAAGCGTTTCTTCTACTTGCAGACTAAGTGTGTTGTATGTCTGTGTGTGTGTCCATGTGTGTGTGTATGTGTGTGACATTCTCTGCCAAAAGCCCAGGAAAGAGAGCAGAAGCTGGCATGGGCCTGAAAGCTGTGGTCTGATAGTATGTAGTAAGACTTCTGTGAAGCAGCCCCAAATATAATCTCAGATTTCTATCCCTAATTTTAAGCCTGGATATTCAACTCTCAGAAGGACAGCTGGACCTGTATTTGCCTTAGACCTCTCAAATTTAGTAGCACATGGTAGGAATGTTTGATAAAAATGATTTGTCATTTTCGATGATAGTGAAAGCATGTAGGGGTATCCAAGAGGTGATAGAGAGTATGTGAGAAATATTTTCAGTCAAATCCTTCTCTAGGTCCCCTACCTCTACTCATGTGCTTCCATTCCCACCCTAAGGGTAAAGAAATAAGGGTTAGCAACATGGATTCCACCTTTGGAAAGCTTCCAGTTCCTTGTTTGTGGCTTTACGCTCAGGCAAGAAGTGTAATCTGTTCACACATATCTGAGATGAAATATATCTGGACCTTGTCCACCAGGTTACTTGAAACCTCACCTCAGACTAAAAATGTTTTAATCGAACTAGCATGTCTGGTCAGCTTGGGCAGCTTTCTTGGTAGGGACCAATTCTTGAGAACCTTAGTGGAGAAGTATGTGCATCTCTAGGGTAGTTGTGGCAAGGTGGTGGGCGTGTGGGATTGGGCAAGAATTTAACTTAGCCAGGATAGCTTGTTGGATGTAGGCATGGAGGAAGGGAAGGGATAAAGTAGGGGACAAAAAGGACTCAGCACTGTGTCATTTTTTGCTCATAGGAAGATACAGGCACTCATTGCCAGGTGCAGAGCTCTGGCCTGCTATCTTTTCACCTCCCTGTGACTGTCACCTCCTGGCTTCCCTGCAAGGCATTTGAGATTAAGTAGGAAATGAAATAGGGACTCTGAATCAGAAAACCTTGCTTTAAGTTTTACAGATCTGCAGGGAGGAAGTGTACCTCCCAGGATCTGTTTCCTATGTGCTAAAATTAGAGGAATCTTATCCAGATGTGTGGAGGTTTCCCTCCATTGTTCTTATGCCCCCTCAGTTTACCTTGATCTTAAGCTTTTAGCCCTTTCATCCTATCACTGGCCTGGCTTCTGGGAAGCGTAGGGAAAAGGGTTAGGAAAGAGGGGGAGAGTTAAAGAACTGGTTGGGGTATGTGGATTTGCTGTCCTTAAATCCTTTCTGGAACAAAGTGTAGGTTTGGGGAAGAGGAAGAGTGAGTGAGTAGGAGAACAAACAATGCCACCTGTACCACTTGTGTGTCTGGCACTCAGTCCGGACCTTTGCTTCATATTATCAATCTCTTCCTGCATTGTTCCTCTCTCTCATTTAAAGCATAAATGTGTATACACATGTAATTTCTTAATTTCATGGAATCATACCTTTTTAAAATACTGTTTTATAATCTTTTTTCACCTTTTCTCCCAGCCTTATTGAGTTATAATTGACATATAACATTGCGTTAAGTTCAAAGCTTACAATGTGATGATTTTATATTGTTAAATGGTTACCATAATATGGCTAACACATTCATCACCACACACAGTTACCTATTTTTTTGTGTGTGGTGAGAATCTTTTTTCATTTGATTGTGTGTTATAGACATCTTTTCATGTTAACCAATACAGAATAAGTGGTTGAATTGTATTTTAATGTGTGGCTATACCATAATTCATTTTTTCTCTAATATTTAATCTCTTTTATCTCAATCTGTTATCAATGGGGTCTTCCCTGTCCCCCTTACTTAAAATTGTAACAAACCTCCTTCCTTTCCTATCTACCTTTTTGCTTTTCTCTGTAGCATTTAGCACCACTTGATAGACTACATTTTAAAAATTTGTGTATTGCCTGACATGCTCTATTAGAATGTAAGCTCCATGAAGACAAGGATTTTTTTTTTTTATCCACTTCTTTATATCTGATGCGAAGAACAGTTCCTGATGCACAGTTGGTGCTCAATAAATATTTGTTGAATGAATGAATTTCTTGGACTTTTGGTGTACATATTTGTTTTTTTATTTGCAATATTTTTGTTGTTATGTACATTCTGTGATAAAAACCTTGGTATATAATCTTTGCACATTTTTCTACTTATCTCCTTAGGATAAATTTCAAGAAATGGAACGATTGAGTTAAAGGATATGCACATTTAAAATGTTGATTCGTGGAGCCAAACTACCTGTAAGAATATTAACTTCTACCAATAGCGCAAAAGAGTGCCGATTTTTCCACATCATCAGTAACATTGGATTGTGTATTTTTCATCTTCCTCATGTGACAGGTGAGGCATGGTCTTGTTCCTGTAACATAGTAAGTGAGAATGTGATTCTGGAGCCATCCTAAATTCTCACTTAGCCATTTACTGTGTGACCTTAGGTAAGTCATTTAACTTCTCTCAGTTTTATCTTTGATAAAGTAGGTGTATAGATAGCACCTGTTTCCAGGGGTTAATAAATCAGTTAATTCGAGTAAAATGCTTCTCGTAGTAACTGAGATGTGACACTCAATAAATATGATTTAATTTACATTTCTTTGAATATTAAAGATTGAACATCTTTTCAAATGTATTTTTGGACATTAGTATTTTTTCTTTGGATTGCTTATTCATGTCCTTTGCACATTTTCCCAGTAATATTTTCCTAATAATTTGTAAGAGCTAAAGTATTAACTATTATATATGGTGCAGAATTGTTCCCAGTTTTTTTCTGTCTAGAAGTTTTACATTTTTAGGTAGTCAAAATAATATTTTCCTTTGTAGTTTTCTCTGCTAGTAGGCTAGTGTTTAGAAAAGGCATGTTTTGCTACCTCAAAATTATAAAAAAAAAATACTCATTCTCTTTGTGTGTTTGTGTGTGTGTATTTTTAAATCTTTAAATTTAATCTTTAAGTCTTTGATCCATCTGGAATTTATTTTGATGTGAAGACAGCAGTTGAGATCTGGCTCTATTTCTTCTCTGTTGAGTAGTGTCCCATTCCCATTTACTGAAGAAGAAGGAGCAAGAGCAAGAATCAGGGAGGATTCTCTTTTAGGATAATCTGTTCTTTCCTCCTCTAATTTGAAAGTGGGATGTCATGGAAATATCAGATATCCGTTTCAGAGAATGAATTCATTTTTTGGACTCAGTAGTCCAAATTCAGTCAATAGTCATTCTAAGTTGTGGGATACATATGCTGTGTAAAACAGTTTGGAATCAGAATTTACAGCTTGACTCCTAAGTGATGAGGTTGCTGCACTCATCGGTGCAGTTCTCTAATGGCTCTGGAGGGCTCCTCCTAAGTGGATCCTAATTCGAGAACTGTTTTGAAGGGGCCATTGCTAGTTTGGAGTGATAAGTTCTGTGTTGTTCAAAAACTGAATGAAGTGACTGAAGCAGATATTTCTTCATTCCAGCTTGAGAGTATTGATAAAGTATATGAAATGGTAATAAACTCATTGTGTTCCAGCTCTGCCCTCATAGTTCTTTTTGGAACTCTAGTCCCATTCAGTTTCTTGCCTCTGACTCAAGATAGAGGGAGGATGATTTTTGTATAACAGAGCACCCACAAATACCATGGTAGCTACTATCTGTCAGAAATGATGAAGAAGGATAGCTAATTCTTACGTAGTGTATATTACATTCCAGGAACTGTTCTAAGTACCATATATGTGCGTGCGTGCATGCATGCATGCATGCCCTGCCTCCCCCCCAAATTCATGTCTACCTAGAACTTGTGAATGTGATCTTATTTGGTAATACGGTCTTTGTACATGTAATCAAGTTAAGATTAAGTCATACTGGGTTAGGGTGGACCCAAATTCAATGACTGGTATTCTTATAAGAGGGAGACAAACACAGAGGGAAGATGCCCATATGAAGATGGAGGCAGAGATTGGAGTTATGCTGCCACAAACCAAGGAATGACAAAGATTACTGACAACCCCCAGAATCTTGAAGAGGAAGAAAAGCTTCTTCCATAGAGCCTTCAGAGGGAGCATGGTCTTTCCAACACCTTGATTTGGACTTCGAGCTTCCGGAAAGAATACATTTCTGTTGTTTAAAGCTATCCAGTTTGTATTATTTGTTGTGGCTGCCCTAGGAAACCAGTACACAGTCTAAAATCAACTTCATTTTCAGATAAGAAAACCGAGGCCTCAAATGGTCGAATACTTGGAGATCTCTCTAAGCCAGCTCTGCTGGCAGGGCATTTACTCTGAAGTTTCTGCTTTTGCTGTTGTCAGCTTTCCATATTCACCATGGCCACCAGCTTCTGGTAGCACTGGGGCTGAGCTGCTGGAACGACTCCTTTCTCTAACATAGCAGGTACAGCCTTTCCTCATCCTTGCCCACTTCACACCCTAAAGAAGAAACTCTTCTCAGGAGACTTCTGGCTGTAATAGAAAATTTCACTAGGTCTTTTCCTGGTCCTACTCCAGGTGAAACCAGGCTTTTATTTTTCATTTCCATGCAGTGTCGGAGAAGTGTGGGTGACATTTAGGGGGAGGGCCACCTAGCTTCTGGCGATTGTTTTTATACTTCTCATTTCTGGCCTGCTATACTTCCTCAAATTTCTGACAGTAGGTAATTCAAGTCTTGTTTTTCTTTGTAGCTTTCAGGATCTCACACACAGCTCACGTGGCACATATCATAGTTCATGGTTGTGAGCAGAGAAGGAGCAGCTTCATGGCAGCACTTGTTGTGGGGGCCCTAGTCACTTGTTCTTAATGAATCCAACCCACCACTGTGGCTCTCTCTCCTATCAATGGGGGATGGGAGGGGAGAAGGGCATTATCTGACCCAGCTCATCTACCTGAATAGCTTCTTGTCTTCCCTGTTCTCTTCTACTAGCATCCCAGATGTTTCCTCCCTATACATTCCATTTCTGGCTATGGAATCTTGCCTGTTTCCAATATAGACCTTTTATTTTGGGTCCTCCTCTTATTCTTAGCTCCTCTCACTAGACTGTGAACTCCAGGAACTCAGGAATCATATCTGTTTTATTGGCTGTTTTATCACAGGACTGAGCAAAGACCTGGCACTTGCTAGCTAGCCCAAAAAATGTTTATCAAATGAAGAAATGAATATTAACCTTGAAGCTTTGGAACCCTAGTTTCCTTGCTTCTTGTTGAAGCCAAGCACCAGATTAAGAACTTTAGAAGCCTAAGCAATAGAACAGTTGTCATGTCCCTCATACTTTCAGCTCTCAGTATATATTTCAAAAATAATATTAAACATAAATATAAGGAGATACCGCAAAGGATAGGGAAAATCCAGCAAAATGCTGATATAGATTTTTTAAAATCATGGTTTCTACTTGGATAAATATAAAATATTTAAAACATTTGTTTTTATTGTGTCTGCTTTGCCGATTTTCTAAGCACATACTATTGGATAATTCTGCCTGGACCAGCCCCTCCCTCACCTTGGACTTCACCTTCCTTTTTACTCCATCTGCTGAAATTGCCAGCCCACTCCTTTCACCACCCCGCTCCCCAGGAGTATCTGGCTCCTGAGACTGCAGCCTGTGGTCCCTGGGGGCTTGCCAAGAAAGTCAAGTAGAACATGCACAGTGCTGAGGAGTACCTCATATTGAGAACTCCCATGATGAATTGTGATTTATAGTCAGCAAAACCCATTGTGCCAAGTAATTACACTTTGACCATTTTTAGTCATGATATTCTGCTTCTTGATCCTATATATGGAAAGCCCAGAAATTTCCCTGTGGTCCTCCTTCCTGGGTTACTGAGAGAGAAGTCAAGATGCAGGTTCACTCTGCCTCTATTAACCTGGGCCTTGCTGAGACCATTCAGAGAAGTAAGATATGATTCTGGAAGTGGAGCCTAGGCCTCCTACAGGCTGTTCCAAGGCTATGACCACAATCAAATTCTGCTGCTGCTTGATTCCAAAGAGTTTAAAATAGCATTGGAAACCTCCTAGGAAAAACACCACCGTAACTTCTTGGCTAAGGAAGTAGTGTGTTCTGGCCAGAGCAGAAAGGGTAGCCAAGGCTCCCAAGTTCTATTCTGGAGCTGTTGATTTGAGGTGTGACATTCAGCAATCTGAGATGATGGATGATGTCCTTTAACTCTGGTTTCTCATCTCAGCACACAGAGTGATATGGGCTGCGCTTGCAAGGAAAGAAGCTAATACACTGGTCCCCTGTTTTCTATGAGAGCCTCACCATTAGATGTCCTTCTTTTCATTTGAATTTCCAGGCTCCTTTTTAAAATGCAGACATCTCCGCTCCCAATACACACAGAGATAATATGAGAACCCAGCAATATTATCCACGTTTTACTTGAATTCATTTAATCAGAATTGCTTTCCTTTTTCCCAGTGTGATCAGATCAGCTCTTTTAAGGAGTGAGAACTTTGATAGGGTTTAGGAAAGGAAGGAAAGTTCTGTGTGGGGCACATACTTTGGCCTTGGATAGCCAGAGAGTAACATGAGGGCACCAGGTGCATGACATGCTACATGAGGAAGAACAAATTCACATCCTTGGAGAGTCAGGAATGTATTAGATGCTTTTTATATATTATTTAGTTATCAATGCAAATCAAGTTATCATCTGTATTTTGGCATACGGGAAGCTGAATGTCAAAAAAGTTATAAGTTGCCCAAGGTCAGACAGCAAATGAAAGACTGAGCTAGGATTTATTTCTCTTCAGGTCTGTCCAATTCCAAAGCCCATGCTGTTTTCACAGAGCTCTTCTATCTCTGACAAGATTTAGCAAAAGGAGGGTGGGCTAAAAAGAAGATGAGGAGATGCCGTCTTTCTCTACCTCACAATTTTGCTTGTTGAGACCTGTTTAGTCAGAGCATCCTGTTTATAGAATACTAGGTTCTATATATAGAGATGCTGCAACAACATATGTGGGAGAGATACCAATTGGCTGTAGGGGAAGATTAAAAAAAAAACTTTGTTCTTTACTTCTAGGTCGTCATTACAGTGTAATCCACAAGTGTCAAAACACCACCGGAAACACTGGTTTATTGCTTGAGAGACCTCCTATCATCCAAATAAAACCTGTCGATACATTCCAAGGAGTATGCCATGATGAGGGCAGAGGTGAGGGTGTGGTGTGCCCTTACTACATGTACTGGAGCTGGTGGCACCTGTTATGTGACTACTGCAGTGAATTATTACTGAATAAACAAGGGGTGTCTCTCTCTTCTTTGCCTTTCTAAAGGGATACCAGATGGCAGTGGGCGTTGGCCCAGATCCAGGGGAGCCTGACCTCTGGCCTGGCAAAGGAGACGGCCTAAGAGTGTCAGGTGATAGAATAAGAAGAACTATGGCCGGGTATAATTTTAGAGGCATCAAGAATGTGTCTTGCCCCTGAAATATTTGCCTTAGCCATTTACTATTGCTAGGAATTCCACAAGTTAAATTTCTTTCCCTTGATTTAGGTCTTTGAAACCCTATTAAAAATGAAGAGATTCCAGGAAAGGGTTTGATTATGAAGCATCTTGGTTATGTAAGCGGAAGCGTGATTCAGTTTATGACATTGATTTCTGAGAACTAGACTAAGGCAAGGGACAGAGAGGAGAGGGCACTGTTCCCCCCCCACCCCCTCAAGTCATAGGGACAGGAGAGTGACGTCACTGAGTTGGTCTTAAAGTCTCTGAAAAAGAGAAGTTGGGTCCCTAAAGAAACACTTTGTTGTCTTCACAGTTTTGTCTGAGAAGCTAGCAGCTGAGGATGGTGGAGATGGAGGTTCTTGACCCCAAGACGGGGTGCAGAGTAGAGAGGTTTTCCACCAGTGTGCTTGGTATGCAGGCATAATGTTTGTCTGGAGCAGCTGACAGGCAGAATGTAACAAGGAGTACAAGACCTTTGAGTCTGTGGTTTGCTGTGATGTCCTCAGACAAGACCATCACAGATCTTAGGAAGCATGAGGGCGCTTCCCAGAAATGACGTAAAATTGTGGTGCAAAAGAGACCACTGATGACAACATGGGCAGGGCACTTCCTCAGTAGCCACTGGTCATAGGCAACTTCCGGTTTTGATTTCCCAATGAGTTGTGCTGAGATAGGGCTTTACCACAAAGCAAAGTAAGCCATGTCAAAAGTAATGACAAAGCACTTGGAGTGTCCATGCAAAGGTGCAGGTCCCCTTGTCCCCTAACTTTGTGGAGCCAAAATAGCTAATCCAGAGGCTACCAGCCTAGCACCTGTGAGTCACATCTACAATTTTTTGGCCTGAATTCCTCCAAAGAGAGGGACCCTCCCTAGTTGACTGTTCACCTTTCATTTATTAGTGTTCTCAAACTGCCTTTGTGATATGAATTCTCACATCTTTCCCTCCTTCACGGGAGCTTTCACAGAGGCGACTCAAATCTCAGTGCCTTTCCCAGCTCCTCACAGTTGGATTCCTGGATGTCCTTTACCCTCAGGCTTCAACTTCTACTCTGTCCACGTTCCTACTCTAAATCTAGAGCATTTCTTTTTGATCAGACTTTTGGCTTCATTCAGGCCTCTGGGGTTATTACTCATTTATTCTGGAGTATTTCCCTAGTGGGCTGTCCTAGGAATGGTCTCTACCATTTGCTTCCTAAAGTTTGGCAGGGTCTAAACCTCCTTCCTTACTGGAATCGGCACAACTCTGGAATTTTCTGGCTGTACCACACACCTTTGTCTTTCCCCAACTACCATAGCCCCATACACAAGATCTAGTGATGTAGCTGGATCAGCTGATCACCAAGATTTTGGAGCCAGTACCCCCAGCAGGAAGGACCTCCTGGGCATGTGTACTGTACTCTGAGAGACATCCCTGCTCATCAATTACTGGCTCCCCTCCATTTCACCTTAATTTCGACTTTTTCCTAGGAGGATCAAGCTCTGTCCCCTGGCCTGGCAGGGACCCTCTAGCCCTGTCTACAACCCTTCTGTCAAACCTTTACCACCAGAGGCTGTGGCCTTTGCTTTCCAGCTTCTCTTAGGCCAGGTCCCTTCTCCGATACTAGAGCCTTTTCTTGCATCTAGGCTTCAGTAGATGAAGTCCTGCTCATACACAGATCTCCCAGTGTTGACTATCCTGAATTCTGCCTAAAACTTTCTAGGATAATTGGATATCATTCTGGTCTGTCCAGCTGCACTTTTGGAACAAGGTTCTTAGCTTAGTCAGGCTCCTATTCTGAATTTCATGCTAGCTCTCTAGCTACCTCTGCCTCAAAAGGAGCTTTTAATATGCATGTGTAAAGCTCCAAAAGAGAAAGAATATAACATTTTCCAAACTTATTTAACTAGAGAACCATTTTTTTTTTCTGAAAGAATATTTATTAAAATTTCACAGAGCGTGGAGTTTGATGGAGCACAGTTTTGGAAAATAAGAGCCTTTATCTCAAAGGAATGGACATCTAATAGAGGAATTCCTGGTGAAGGTAATGTGATAATCAGTGAAAAAAAATATGGAGGGATAGGCAATCTCTCCTTGTGCTCTTCATTGAACAAGTGCCCACTGAACATTTACTGTTTACCAGTCTCTGCTGGAATCACACCATGTGTTTGACTGCTTGCCTTGCTACAACTTAAGGCTCCACTCCAGGTCAACACTGGCCTCATGTGTCTGCATGAGGCCAATGTTGACCTGGAGTGGAGCCTTAAGGTGGGGAGGAGGTAGGAATTCTACATTCTTTCTCTCATATTTGGATCCTCTTCCCCTTTCTTCAGTTGAAACAGGAAGAGGTGAATGGGGGGTGATGCCATTATTACCACAGACATCAGCTTCTGGATCCAAGGAGGGAGGGCTTGCCTGAGGCTTCTTTCCCCACATTTGGCCTCTTTGAGGATTTCTCTAGTACCTCCCACTCTAGGACTGTTTAGCTCAGCATCAGTCTCAAGTCTCACTTTTAGTTCAGGATTTTGACTAATTGGGATCAGTGCCAAGTGGAATGGAGTGGATGTGACATTATACATTTTGGAATGGATGTGACATTATACATTTTTTACTTTCCATATGAAATCCCTCTTTTATAGCTCTTGGGTGGTCCAGACTATAATAATTGTTTTCAGCCATTCAGTAGAGGTAAACCCATGCTCTGTGGGCAGGCTGATCTTGCAGGTAGAGAGCCATCTGAATATGTTAGGATGGGTGACCAAGTACCTGGAGCTCCAGCTAGCATAGGTTAACAAAAGAGGAAGCCAGTCACTTACTCTTTTCCAGGACAGAGTGGAAAAGACTACCTGAAGCAGATAGAAATCTCTAAGACTCCTGATTAAGAAATTGCTAGCTCTCTTTGAGACCCTGAGGTATATGTCTTTACTGTCATGAGTGAGATCTTTGATTGGCCAATCTTTATTTAGTTGGTTGAGCTAATCATAAAACAAAATAGATAGAAAGGCTCAGCTTTGACCCTGCCCCTATGTATGATGTTTTTTGAACATCCAACAGGTAGCATGCTCTACCCACAGGTCCCACCCTAGGGGCCTTGGCTTATGGCACATGTCCATCTCTGCCACTCCTCTGAAAGACCATGGTTTTAACTGTGAAGATCAAGGAGTGAGCTAACTTACAGGGCGGTGGAAAGAGGGCTTGAAGTGGGCATTTAGACATCTTAAATAGACCCAGTCAAATATTTGGTCAGTCTATAGGTATTTATAAGTATTAGTTAGCCTATAACTTCAGAAGGCTTGTTTTCCTCTACTAGTCTTTTCCTAACAGCCTCTCTACATAAAGACATTTTCTAAGATTTTGTTCTTAGCTCTGTTCTTTCTTCCCTCTGTATACTATTCTTCATGTCATCTTTGCTTATGGTTTTAGCTACCACTGATATGTCAGAAATTCTCAAGTCTCTATCTCCAACCTAAATTTCTCTTCTGAGTTCCTGCCTCACAATGTACAGACACTATTGACATCATAACCTGGATGCCTGTTAAGCATTTTGAGCTCAACATATCCAAAGCCAAATTATATTCTTCACCAACCCATCCTCTTCTCCCTATTCCTCTATTCCTTCCTGTTCCTCCTCCTCTGTTCCTTAACTTAGGAGCATCACCATCCAGGGTCTTTAGTTAACTTGTTTCTGCATCACTATCTTATATTATGACCCCACCAGAAATTTAATCGCTCTGAGTATAATGTAAGATGTGTAGGATGTGGGTGAGTGATTTCTTTTTTCCTTTCCTTCCTTCAGTTGTAGCAAGGCAAGCAACTTGAATTCTAATACTGGCTTTTCCTGTCCCTTAAAGCCCTTTTGCCTACCTTGCCATTAGGAATTTAGCACTGTTCATATCACCCAGGTATGTGGCCTTGGTCTCTTATAACCTTTTTCTCCTCTGCAAACCTTCCTTACTCTGTTATCATTAAGCACTCCAGATAATTCTTACTCTATTATGCAAAGCAATTGAACTCTTAACTTTCCCTCCGTAACTCACCTCTGTATGTCCATAGCCCACTGAAGGGCTCTACTGAATTAAAAAGCTCACCTACTTTAACTGCACAAGGATTTGTAGAACCTCTGATATGTTCTTTTACATTATCTTTCCTCTTTTGAAAGCATTTCTTATTTTAGATAGGATTTACTTCTTCTTACCCCAGGAATGGTTTTGCTTTGAAGCATCTGTAGAGGAGAAGGTAAGAGGATGTTCCAGGCAAGAGCAATAATGTGAATATAGGTAGCAACCTACATGAAACCTATTGTGGGCAATGAAAAAACTAGTCCAACTGGAAAGAAGAATTCTTGTTGGGGAGCAGAATAGAGCTCAGAATAGATTAGAAAGCCCAGAAATGGACCTACATTTCAGTGGGAAAGAATAGGGTTTAGGATAAATGTATAACCATTAAAAATAAGTTTCTGTCTATGGCCATGCCACCCTGAACAAGCTTGATCCCACCTGATCTTGGAAGCTAAGCAGGGTCAGACTTGGTTAGTACTTGGATGGGAGACCACTAGGCAGACCAGGTGCTGTAGGCGTAAAAACTAAATAAGTAAATAAATATATGAATAAATTTCTGTCACTTTCTAGCAAAATAAATTCTAGATGGATTAAAAGAAATTTTTTACATTAAAAACTAAAGTAATAAGTATACTAGAAAATAGTTTTTTAGTATGGCATCAAAAGCAGAAAGTATAAAGGAAAAAGTGATGGATTATCTAAAAAAAAAATTACAATAAACATCGCATACAAAATAAAAAGTAGATGACAAACTGGTTACAAAGAGTTTTCAACATGTCTCTAATGTGCAGAAAAGTTTTCAAATCAATAGGAAAACAAAAAGCAAAAGAAAATGGGTCAAAGTCATAGAAGAATAAATACAAATGACCAATAAAGCTTATAGAAGAAGGCTGTTTCATTTTAATCCAGAAAACAAACAAATGAGATATCATTTTTTAAGTGTCTGACTGAAAGATGTTAAAAAAAAATATTTATTGCTGGTGAATAAATTGGGCTTGAAGAAACAGGAACTCATACTGTGTTGCTGAGAATATAAATTAATACAGTCTCTCTGAAGTTCATTTTGGAAATATGTATCAATTTTAAAGTGCACATGCTCTTAAACCAGCAATTTGACTTCTAGGTATTTATCCCAAGGGAAAGCATACAGAGAGATAAATGTATGAGGATATTTGTTACTACAGGGTTTATAAAGCAATCAAAAGGGCCATTGATAGGGGATTGGTCAGATAAATTGTATGTTCATACAATGGTAAATGAAATAGATCAATAATTATTGACATGAAAGGTAGCATATTCAGTATATACATGAAAAAATAGCATATGAATCTGTTTCATTTGAAGTAAATATGGCTATAGCTATGTGTATATATTTAAAAATTCATACAACACATTAACAGAAATTATCTTTTCTGATTTATAAAAAAAATCTATGCCACTTAAAAAAATAGGAAATAGACTCTGACTTGAGGTTATGGGTGGGCCAAAACCAGGCACAGTTATTTTACCTATGTGGACTAGGTAATGAATAGTGGTGATAAAAGCAGTGTTCAGGGAAGGTTTTATGGTGCGAATGTATGAAATGAATGAAGTGAAAAATGAGGTTAGAGAAATGAGTTAGGAAACCATAGTGGCAGACTGGGCGTGAACTAATGAGGCATAAGCTGGGGTAGGCAGTGGGATTATAACGAAAAGGACCAATATGAGGGACATTCCATGGAAGGAAACACTGATCTGATAGTCTGTCAGGAAGAGGATAAAAAGAGTAGCAAGTTACTGGTAATGCCAAGGTATTTGTCTACCCTGTGAAGTTGGAAAATTACTTGCCATGACAGAAAAGGGGTAATTGGAAAGGAGAACAACTCTTCTAGAAGGAGGGTACAAATTTGTTTCTTGGAGTTAATTTGAAGGACCAGAAATACACTCAAAAGGAAATGTTTCGTAGGCTGGGGATTCCTATTTAGAGAAAAAAGTACTTCTAAACTAGAGGAAATAGGTGAAAGTGGGGATTCTCTAGATCTGACACCCTTGACATGCTTGAGGGAGGGTGGTCATATCTTGGTTTTCCCTTTCCTGTCAGCAGCAGTCTTAATGGACCCTGGAGAAGAGTGTGTTATAGTGTTCTCAGTTGGAACTGAGAGTAGAGCTTAAAAAGATGTAGAAGTGGGCACTAATCATCATAATAAAATGATAGTCACAATATTGTTTAAAAATCACTCTATCATTTAAAAGGCCATTATATGCAGCGACTTAGCTAACAATCCTGTATGTTATGTATTGTTATTTTTCTCCTTTTGTAGAGATGCCAAAGCTCAATTAGAGAGTAGAATTTGGACTGAAACAAGTATTCAGGCCTCAAACTACATTTCTCAGTTCTTTACTCTTCATCTCCTAAAGATGAATTTTGTAAGGATGGGAAGACTAAAGCAAAAATTGCAGCCTGGAGCTAGAGGTACCCACAGTTAAGTGGTTGGAGGAAGAAGAGGGCCAGGAAAACACTATGTCACTCATAGTCACTGCCTTGTCCCCTGGCCCTCGTAGGCCCTGACATTCATCTGAACTAGAGAATGTTGGATTTCCATTGAATTCATGGGGAAAAAAAAAAATCCTAATCTGTTCATAAATAGCATGAGATATTTTGGAAGTCAGGTTGGTCAGTTTGGTTATAGCAGAGTTAATATGCTAGCTTAGTGGTTTATTGAATTCTGGCTTCGTTCTTTTGAAAGTAATACAGTAAAAGTATATTGACTTTGACCCATGAGGGAAGGACTTGTCTGAATTAATTACATGGAAATAATTTTTTTTACAAATTCATTAGGTTTGTTTACTTTTAGAATCACATGGTAACTCATGTATATGCTCTCTGGTAGGGACCCTAAGAGGATCCACTTTAATGAGTAAAAAAATCAAAAGTCTCTTAAGTCACTTCAGTTTTCCAACTATTATATTTGTGAGTTTAAATTATTTAGCTAACCCATTCTGATAG